CATGTCGGGTCGCTGGACCTTTACGCCTCGATCCAGCTCCGGGATTTTGCAGCAGGAAGCGTGGCCCCCGGCCTTGGCCGTGACGTTTCACGATCCTTCATTTCTCCCCGCAGCGCCGGTTGGCCCTGCCGTTGCCCGCCTGGGGCTGGGCGCGGCGGCCCGTCCGCCTCGGGGCTCTGCCGACCTGCCCCGCTGCGCTTCCCCAGGGATGTCTCGCGGCGGTCGTGCCGGGCAGCCTCGCGAGCGCCACCTCTGCCCTCGCCTCTGGGTCGGATGGCGGTGAGGCCCGTTGCTTCCTGCCGGCCATGTCCACGAGGCTGGCCGCGTCCAGGGAAGTATGCCGCTACAGCTCTGGAGAGAGCCTCAGCCAGAGGGGCCGTAGATCGGAAGCTGGAACATGTACATTACCAGTGGCGGGCTCTTTTACAATCCCAGAACTTTTTGAGGGTCGGGGACGACGTCGGAGTGGTGTGGTGTCTACTTGTTGTTTTCGTTTCCCGGGAAACTAAGAAGAATGTATACACCAGGATCCCGTATACACCAGGATGCGCTTTCCTGTGCAGGTGTCAGTGCAGGGCAAGGAACAGCGTCGGTGTATGGAGTTCGTCTCTCTGGTAGATGGATGGACAAAAGAGTGGAATCCCTGACACCGCGTCCCCCCCCCCTCCCCTTGGCATCGCTCGGACGTGTGCATTTTTCTTTCGGCGAGGACCATCGAGGAACACCCTTCATAATTTGGCGAAAAACCACGCACGAAACCGAAAAAAGCACAGGGAATGGACGTCCGAGCGATGGCCAGTCCCCCCCGTTTCAAAGTTGGCCCCAAGCGTTCGGCAGCACGGGCGCGCGCTGGGGCGCCCATGCTTGCCCCAGTGCCGTGCCTGTGCGGCACGGCGGCGCCCCGCTGGGCGTGGCGGTGGGTCGGGGCAGCGTAGGGCTCGAGCCTGCCGGAGCTCGGCCTGGCCGCCGCTCCTCGGGAGCCTCGAGACGGGGGTCAGTGCAGAGCGGGGGCCAGCCAGCGCGCCCGATCTTGCAGGATCCTGCAGGGGCCAGGGTCGCGTGGAGCTGGGTTTGGGTGAGGATCCTGCAGGACCTTGCAGGATCCTTCGCGTTGACCCGGGTTTGGGCGCAGGATCTTGCAGGATTATGCAAGGCCAGACTGACCCAGATCTGGATTGACCCGGATCAGAAGATCCCCGCCGCTCTCTGGTGGTCTCAGCGTTGATTTTTGGGCGGTCCGGTCCTCGTGCCGTGTCTGCAACATTAGTTCGCGTCAAGTTTCAGGCTATATGCGGAGGCGGCAACGAGGGTGGTGATGACTAGGGGGGGGGGGATATCATGGCGTGGGCCATGATACTCCCCTAGATTTCATGCCGCCGCTTCTTGTTTCATTACGTCCCTGCCCCCCCCCCCGCTAAGCCGCGCACATGCCGCTGGTCATGATTTGCACCCCCCCCTCTTGGACACCCCCCTCTTGGCCGCTCCCGATGTATATATATAATGTATATATATACATAACTGCATATACATATGCATATACAAATACATATACATACACGTATACATATACATATTACATATACATGTACATAAACATATACATATACATATACACATACATGTACATACACATATACATATACACATACATATACATATACATATACATATACATATACATAGACATATACATCTACATCTACATCTACATATACATATACATATACATATACATATACATATACATATACATATACATATGCATATACATATACATATATTTATACACATATATACATATATATATATATATATGTATGTATGTATATGTTCCCGTTTTTCTGACGGCCCCGTCGGGCAAAGCCGAGTCTCCC